CTTTCCCTGGTCTCATCCACCAGCTCCTTGCATCTCAGGCCACAGTTCTCAGTCCCTTCCCTGGTATTGCATGTGGCTCCTCCAAATACTCCCAGCTCTTTCCTCAAAACGTTTCTCACAAACATCCTTTTCCACTTCAGAAGGCATTAGGAAAATATATGAGTGAAAGCAGAGAAACCAAGTCTAAACAAAACCCAAGGCTCTGCAATCTGAACTTGAGATCACTGACGTTTTGCCATTAGTCTTTCCAGCCTCCACCCTTTCAGCTGAATAATTCCATTTCAGCTGCAAACATTGGGGCAACAGCCTCTTTTTTATTCTGCTCTTGATGAGAAGAGATTCACTCTTTGAGAAGTGGTTAAAATCCGATGTAGGCAGGAACACAAACATGCTGGAGCACACGAAAGCCCAACACCTCCGTACTCCATAGGCGACTTTGTGAATGGTTGCATATGAAACGCCAGGAGCAAGATCTTGAGCTGAGCAACTGGCTAACTTGGGGCATGGCAGCTCACACACACCATCTGGAGCAAATCATAATAGTTTGGAGCTGAAATGTGCCAATTGGCAGAAGCTCAGACCCAGCCCTGAAAGCCACGAGTGCAGCTCTGTCAGTGAAGACCAGGCAGTCAGGGGAACTCCCTTGGCTTGAGCTGGATACTCTTGGAAAATGGATCTGCAGCACCAGGGAGCCAGGGGGGCTGTCCACATGCTCCATTCCAAACCCCAGCAAAGGCTGGTCAGCTCAAAGATTCCAGCAAACACTGTCATTTCACCTCCTGTCAAGGAACCACCTCCTATCTTTTGCTAAGCAGTTGTTTGAAAGCAAGTGTGAAGTGCCAAGGCTCCTCTGCTTAAGTAGCAGGCAAAAGGGTTTCCAAGTTGTCTCCTGGAAGCTTGTCTTAATGCCACACGGACATATTTCATAGACTAGAAATATGCATATGCACAAGAAACTCTCACAAGTCCTTCCTTACTCATAAGCAGTCCCAGTGTCATGCCTTCAGTGGCCTGAAGGAGTAGAAGAAGGGGAGATAAGCCCACATGGCATGGACAGAGCAGCCTGGTTTATGTGCCACCTGAGTCTATAGGTTTAGCACTGTAAAAGCAAAATGAGTCATGTATGTGTCTGTCTGCCCTGTGAAGCCCAGCAGAGCAGTGCTGTCACTCAGGGAGCAGCCTGTTCCTATGGCCTCCCCATTCCCACCTGGGCAAACCAAACCCTGGCCCTGTTGATGTGCAGCCACATCCCCACCACCACCACAAGTCCCACAGTCTGTCACTTCGACCAGTCAAATCCTCTCTTTCCATCTCCCCGCGTCCACCAGCTCCTTCCCTCTCACCCTGTACCAGCTCATCTCTCCCTCAGTTCTGATTTGCAATATTCTCTGCCACCACTCTTCCCCTACTCCTTTTTCTTGGCACTCAAACAAAACACCTCAGTGTTGACTTGTAACATTTTTTGGTTTATCCCTTCCTAGGAGGACTGCCAGTCATGTCACACTGACCCACATCGTGCAGTCATTTCTGTCAGCCAGAAGTACCCTTTGCAAGAAACCAATGCTATTTTCCCCTGCAGTCTCAAAACTGATGGGAGCCCAGGTTTCTTTCTGGATTATATCAATTTTATGAGTTAAGTTACACAATCTCCTTTTCATGTCAGATGGGAAAATAAAAAGAAAAATGAAACAA